GGCTGCAATTTCAAGTTGATTGTCGACTTTCCACGAAAAGTGGAGCTCCTCCGACTTGAATGACTCCCGATCAGTCAAGAGGATTGAAGCCACTGGAACCATAGGCGCTCTTATGTCGGAAAGAGTAGTTGTGTACCACGAGCGGGACCCTCGAATGTTGTCGATGTTACTCAACGCAGCAAGAATGAAACCAGCAAAAAGCACGACACAGCAGTTGACAGATCGAAACAATGTTATGCTCCAGGTCGAGCGCATGACTAGTGGATCCTCTTGACTGGCGCACATTATACTTTCCCTGCTTCTTTTCATGGCACTGTTGCCCTGTGGGATGAAGAAACGGTCAAATAACTTCTTTAGGTGACGACGGCGCTTATGACACACAAGCATTGCTTCGGATGGCTTCAACCATGCAACTTCACATACAACACAATGTTGATGAGGACTTGGCAGGATGTGGATCGTACTGACAATACCTTTACTATGTATGAAAAACCTCAGCACAAAAAACCCGAGAACCGTTACCTGCGCCGAGTTAAGTCACCTTGTTTCATCGCCTGCCTCCACGAACGAGCCAAAAAATCGAAGCGGGCTAAGCACACGATACACAAAACTGAAAATAATTCGATGTCTCCAAAGTGATTTTGGCAGTGAAAGAGAAGTGGTGCTCGGAAATGCTCCTTTTGACCTTCGTCTTAATTCTTTGACCTCCCACAAAGATGTGGCTTCGGCAGAGACAGGCGCCGTTAAAGCGCTAGCTGCCGTTCGCCATTGCCGTTAAAAAGCCTTCGCCGTCTTCCTACTTTTATTGAAAATAACAACCAGATTTTTCTATATTTAACGTTCCGCCGTCGTGCTGAGGTATTAACTTAGCCTTTTGCGACTCGTCCCTTTGGCATCTCAACTACTGCGACTAGAATGTATACAGCCAACAAATTCAAGATATGGACATCGCTGCTGAAGGCTTGCGGTAGGTGGTTGATAGAAGCATTGGAATGAAGGAGCAAGGAGAAGTAACGTTTCCTTTGGATTTCCTGCATCACAATTCTACAACTTTGAACCATCCTTTTTTGGATAAATAAAATTCTAGACGGTCAAAGCAGGGTTTGTTTATATCTGTAGCATTTTCTGTGGCGACATTGGTGGCATTTGCATTGATAGCCGCCTTCCAAGAGAGTCAAGGACGACACACCAACTTTCGAAATGACCGCTCTTCTCATGATGGGCAAGGCGCGTGCTACGACCCATACATTATACCGTTATGGCCACATAATGGCACAAAAGTTCAAAACCCTCAAACGCGCTTCCTCACAGCGTACGTTCCTCAAGGTAGGCATGCAAGCATTCTGTTTTGAAAGTACCGCGTTATTAATAGGTTGCCTTTTCTTCGACCGCCAGCAAACCAGTCTTGTGGGGCATCAGCCGTGATTGCTCCGGGTGGAGCATATTGGGACACAGCGAGAGACGTTGAGGGGACACCATATGCCAAGTGGCTATGTGCGCAAGGCGTGGCATCTTATGTTCTACAGTACGGGTGTGCCAGCTCGGGGTACGTCAAAAAACTCAGCATTTTATAACTCCTAAATCTGCTTCTTAACATTATTGTCTCCTTCGATATGCATCTAGTTTTCACGCCCCAGTGCCCGAAGACGACGCTCGTCGCGCCCTGCGTGTCGTCCGAAGTCAGCTGCCAGTTTCCGCTCGTGATACCCACAAGGTAATCACCTCGTGTCCCCATGCTTTCGAGAGCGGAAGGCGTTTTTCCTGATCCCCCGCTTTGCCAACAATAGATCGGAGTGATAGGCAGTTCTGCCGGCGGACACTTGATGGCAACACTGATGGCGTATAACGACGAAGGGAACGCGCACGCAACAAATACTATTGAGCAACAGAGGTAGGACCCATGGGGCGATCTTAAAAGTTATCCAGCGCTCAACAACGAATCCCCCCCACAGAAGTCGCCCTGATTTTGGTGTCCTTGTATATCCCGTCATTTCCATGGAGGACGGCCTGACTCACGACCCCTCAAAGACCAACCTTTTCGGGCACAACCTGACCTCGCAAAAACGCCAAAGATTTGTGGAGTATTTTTCTATCGAGAAGCACGTGAATCATCTGTTCCCGCCAGTATTCATGTTCCACACCAAAGACGACGCGGTTGTCAGCGTGGAAAATACCTATCGAATGGTCGATGCACTTGAGAAGGCAAAGGTATCTAAAGAGCAAAAGGGAGGGCTGTGATATGTAAGTATTTCATTTATTTTTTCTTTTCCTGGCGCCTTATCGATTTCAATGCAGGTTGAGCATAAAGCGATGATCTCTGAACACGGCCGGCACGGTCAAGGCTTGGGTGACGGAAGTTTGGTGACCTATGATGGTAAACTGATCAATAATCATCCATGGACACAAAAGTGTATGGAGTATTTGATCGACTTGGGAATGATAGGAAGGACAAACAAAGTGAGGGAAACATGAAATACTGACTGAATCTTTTCCAACACGCACTGATGTAAGAGGCGAGTAAACTATGTCGCTGAGTGCAACTTTTTCATGCAAATAAAATGCTAAGTGCGCCAGTCCTGCGGAGAGCAGGGGAAAGACAAGCTAAGAAGCTAAACACGCCTCTGTCAATCAGACCTGACCCACAAAATGTATCATTTTGATAAAATGGGCAATGTTTGGCTCTCACACGCGTGTCTTACGTTTTCTGATATCGGTTTGAACAGGTAAGTGGGGTTTTGAGGGGTTGTATGACAAATAAAGGAGCTTTTAGGGAGGAATGGAACAATGAAGGGGAGGAGGTTGCCGAACTTAAAGCGAACGGCCGGGTCAGACCAAGAGCCACAAAATAAGCGGCCCTGGCCGGCGATTCTAATTGGTTACACAAGTAAGAATGTTCAGTTCGGTGAATAAGAAGTAAAATCAATCGAAAAATCTACCCGGAATTTATTTTGATGCGGATGGTGCGCAACTTTTAGCTGCCCGATTATCAACCCGATCAGTACAAGAGGCGAGGGCAGTGCTAATTGAGATATCTCTCTTAAGATCCAGTTCGTTTTTATCATTCATGCATGACACGGGTCTGTATCACCCTCGGACACCTGGCCATTTGCGTAGCCATTACTGGTCCTGGGTCGAGACAGCCAACGAGGGGTCACATGTTATTTATTGCCGAGCGACATCCATAAATTCTTGCGAATACATACATTTCATACATGTGATAGCGTGACGGTGACTCCATGCCGCCGCCGCGGGGTTTCCTATCCTTCGTGGCGGTCGCGTTGGTCCTGATTATGTCGCCCATGTTATTTATGAGGAATCCTGCTGAAACGTATATGAACCTTTTGGGAACGCGAGGCTTACGGCGGGAGGCGAAGATGTCAATACCTTGGGTGATTGAAGGTAGGTCGAGACTCTATGGGCTGGTAAGACGTGCATCCATCGCAAGAGCTTTTACATGCGACCCCAATTTCCCAGGAGAACCAAGGGAGCCAGCGCATGTGCGGGTGGTGATACGGACTCACGCACGGGAACAACTCCAGTTGCGATCTTTAATTTACGGGTTGCGCGCGCAAAGCGAGGGACAAGCCGGTTTTAAGGCAGATTTTGTGCTGGTCCCAACGGAATCAGCTTCGTTGCAAACGTATCAACGACTGTGTAACGGTGCGAGCTACTAGTGTTTGTATGCACCCTTTGACTACCACTGAGCGTTTCATGTTAAGTCTCAGCCTTATGATTTTGGGTGTTTTAATCCGCAAATGCACATCTTTCCCCTGGCAATGTCGGCTCATGGATAGACTTTTTCTTATTTTTGCATGCGCAGAGATGAATGTGGGTTTTGATGACCTCTACCTGGTGGAGCTTCCAGACACATTTTACGAAGATGTCAAACTCAGAGATAGCCGCTTGACCTGCACCGACGCAGTCCGAACACGATACGTGCAAGAGTTCAACGCGGATGAGGTCCACCGATACTGCGATTTCGACCACTACGTGTACTATGCTGCCACGGACAAGGCTCTCGCGACGTTTGTGCTGCCTTGCAGAAGCTGTACGCATGTTCTGGTTACGAATGGGGACAACGGTTACGCCCCTTCCTTTTTGCAGGAGACGGTACGGCAGTCGGCTGACCTGGCCATCGTGGGGTTTACACACCGGAATCAAGCCCAGACCCCGGTCCTGGGAGTCGGAGGTTTGGATTTGGGTGCTGTTTTGATGCGTGTAGGGGTATTGGACCACGGAAGGAGACTTTTCTTGAGCTCTTTGCCTGTCGATGCTGGGCCGAAGGAGGTGCACGATGCAGACTATTGGATGGTGGTCAACGCCTTGGAGCGGGGCTTGAGCTTTGCCGTGTGCAAAAACCAGCTCCTCATGTATCACAACTGACTGATGCTCGAGCCGCGATTGGGAAGAATTACAACACCGTCGAGACTTCCTGTAAGCCAGGTTATTGTGGCGGATTAATTCTCTCCGGAGTTCTAGGGAGGAATCTAAAGCAATTTTGTATCCAATTGTATAGTTTCATTTTGGAGCCACGGATCCTCGTGTATCCCTTGACAAGTGTTTGTTCTGAGAAAACTGACACGTCCCCAAAATCGACGCGATTTGCTCGATATGAATTCTCTACCTGAGTTGTCGAGCAATGTATAACATGCAAGTTAAGGTTAATAAATATTTAAATTCTGATTTTTCAGCAGACTGAATTCAGATCTTGGGATTCATCGCTTGAATTCCTAATTTTTTAATGCCGTGTGTATTTTGTCGTGGTGGACTGAAATGGATACGTTGTTCTGGTACTCCTTTTGACCTTCTCCCGCTAACATTCCCATATCGCGATATGCAAAACTTTATATAGCATAAAGATTAGAAAAGGTAATAATCATGTATCGCGATATGCAAATTTACGATACCCGGAAGGTTCCTGAATGTTTACCCGCACCATGCATGAGTTAACTGATTATGTCTCCCCTTCTCCTACAAATGAAGGACTGCGTTTAATCACAATGGAGTGATACGGCGGTTTGCACGTTTCCGGTACCCGGCCGATGATTGTGTTCGTCAGGAAAAGGAAACGGCTGTGCAGCTCCTAAAAGTGCGTCACATTTTACTCCCCTTTGCGCGGCAGCCACATAATGAGTCGGCGCTTCGTTCCCGTGCGGGAAACGTACGCATCGGGTCGTGGACCATGGAAAATATCCCGTCTCATTTTCTCAAGCATTGCCAGTTCTCCTGAAAAACTCTCAACCTCCCCCCCGCGCCGACGAGGGAGACGGAGACAACCTGAGTGCGATGGAGGTCCTCTGAACGAAGCTCTGGTCGCGACTTTCCCAGGTGGATGGTCAGATGTCCGGGAGGAGATCAAAAAGCATGCGGAAAGCTTGGGGTTCGCCCGTGCACGAGTGACCACGCCGGAGCCGTCGAGTCGCTTTGAGCAATACAAAGCCTGGATCGAGGAAGGAAAGCATGGAGAAATGGGTTATTTGGCTCGGGAGGACCGTTTGGCTCGACGCGCTGATTTGGATCTGATTTTACCAGGATTGCAAGCCGTCATTTGTACAATGACGCTGTATTGGCCCGGCAAGAAAGGCTTTCCTCCGGCATCGTCCATGCACGCCGCGCCTTCCTCCACTACATTGGGCCCGTCACCCGTCCGCCCGGGTCACACTGCCTCTAAGAAGCGTGGGGTCATCAGTTGCTACTCGTGGGGCGAGGACTACCACAACATTATCACCCCTCGTCTGAAGGCGCTGGCTGAATGGATGCATACTCGTTACGGGGGCCGTGGGCGATGGTACGTGGACACTGGCCCGTTAATGGAACGGGATCTGGGGGAGCGTGCAGGTTTAGGCTTTGTGGGAAAGAACACGTTGTTGATCAACGAGCACCTTGGGAGCGGAACGTTTCTCGCTGAGCTCTTAACAACGCTGCCGCTACCGCCCGAAACTCCCCGAAAAAAGTCGGGGGGATGCGGAAAATGCCGACGCTGCATCTCCGCCTGTCCCACGCAAGCCATTCATAAAGATGGGTACTCTATCGATGCGAGGCGGTGCATCTCGTACCTGACGATCGAGAACAAAGGGAGTATCCCCATCGAGTTGCGGCCCTCCATGAAGAATTTAGTGTACGGTTGTGATATTTGTCAGCAAGTCTGCCCTTGGAACCGGTGGTCTTGGCCGGACAACCAACCCAAAACACTTTTCAGTCCCTCCGCCCCGTCTTCTCCCTCCACCCCTCCTTTCCTCCCTCCTTCCGCGTCCTCCCTGGAACTCAGCACCCCGGTATTGGCGGACTTGTTGCGAGCCTTAAAGTCTGACGCGGGTTTTATGAAATGGTTTACAGGGTCACCTATCACACGGATTGGGAGGGCCAGAATGCTGCGGAATGTGGCGGTGGCGGCGGGTAACAGTGGGGAAGGCGGAGGAAGAGAGGGGGAGGAAGGGGAGGACGGGGAAGAATTGCTGGCGGTGTTGAGGGAGGTGTGGGAGGAGGAAAACGATGAGATGGTGAAGGAGCATCTGTCCTGGGCGATTCAACGTTTGGAAGGGGAGGTTGAGAGCGAGGAGGCAGTTAGGGAAGCGGGGCGGTGAACGAGTCTGTTCCACCGCCTGGTGCCAAGAAAGGGAGGACAACCGTGGGAAAAGACACGTGGACAGTAGGGATTGGCTAGAGTCCACATTGTAAATTGCGCAAAAAGCACATGAAAACTGGGGGGAGCGAAGGAAGCAATTGCTTGCTACGGGGTAGTTGTGGAGTGGCAAAGAGACGTCATCTTGCCTGCCTTTAAACCGTGGTATGGGGTTCTCGACTCATGTATTGGCTTTTTTTTGGCAGGACATCATCCTCGTGTCCGCCCGCTGCCTCTCCCTTGGTTTCTCATACCAGTACCCCCTTGCCTCCTCCTTTCCCGCCTTACCTTGTCCAGAAATACACAAATCCCGCATACAGTGCAAAGAAAAGAGGATTATACACGGAGGCGGGCACGAGGATCACCACCTGAAAGAGGACACCGTAACTGAGCATGCAGACGAGCACTAGGGCTGTGGCTTGATAGATTGGCCACACGGCGATCGTCAAAGAGACGAGGGTCACCAGTAGGGAGACGAGGAGAGCATGGGTGACCCGCCGTGCCTCAGGGTAGTCTACCTGCTTACCCAGCACAGCCCCCACGTACACGTCGAGGTAAGCCCACAGGAGGACAAAAATGGAACTGAAACATGTACCAGATTGAAGATGGGGGGTGGTTGCTAGAAAGGTCAGAATGTTCGGAGACGCTTAAGATTATAGAACCTCCCCAACGGATGGTCTCCTTCCTTCCTGAAAAATGTTTCAAGACTTCAAGTATCTCTCCTCCACATACTCTATAATTTGTGCTTGTGCTAGAAATCTTCATGTTTTCCATTCTCACCTTGCCGCGACGCTGACAGCGAGAGCCGCGCCTCCCACTTTCTTGTTCCAGAGCAAATTTTCAACAAATTTTGCCTCTTTAAGTCCATAGACAGATACAGCAAGGACCAGCAAAGCCTTGAAATTCCGTCTCAAGGGACTGTCAAGCTCATAATCCAATCCCTGTACCGTTGATTCCCCATGGAGTGGTCGCTGCTCCTCCTGTTGGGATGTTGTCCTGTCTTCACGAGACCGACGCCGAGCCGCCTCGACGCCCGCAGACATGGCCTTCTCACCCAGTCGAGCTGCCAAAAATGTAGTTCTATACGCCCTGTAATGAATTACATGCAATGATTCCATGTTGAGGCGTCACAGTCCGTACAATTTTTTGATAATGGCCAAAATGCCATCGGGGGCAGGGGAGAAGACAAACCGAACGAAGCCTCCCCTGGTTTTCGGGCGAGTAAAGCATGTGTCGGGATGTCGTGACCGACACGGCCGCGAAAAATAGATGAATGAGGCTCTGGAAACAACATCCAATCCTCCATGTGAGCCTCTTTATCCCTGTGCCTCCGAGGTTCATGCTGTTGTCATACTGCGGGATTTCCTGCATGTCATGCAACCGCATGTCTCGGGCCTTCCCTCTCGTCCTCCCTTCCTTGAAGTGGGTGTGGGCCGCTAGATCCTCGCAAACAAATTAAAGTAATGTAAAAGTTACACGGAGTCACGCCGCTGGCACCCTCTGACCAATCTCTCATCGTTCCAAAATGACAATGCATCTTTTTCAGGCTGGTTTCAAGGCTCTAACCTGGAAAGGCAAGGGCAGAAGAAGCGTTGGGCCGGGGGCCCATTTCGGCTGAGAAGTCAAGGCCATTACTATTGTAAGTCGCACTCTTCACGCGTTGCCATTCGCAGGTACCTTCTCTCACCCTCTCTTTCTTATGTAGGGTGCTGCTAACTTCAAGATTCACTAGCAAGCGTCGACATGGACGAGCACAACATAATTTTCTCTCAGCAGGATCCTAATGAGGTGTACGAACTGGTCGACTTGCTCGGAGAAGGTTCGTATGGCGCCGTCTATCGTGCACAGTACAAGGCAGACCCATCAAAGCCTCCCGTTGCCGTCAAAATTATCCCCGCGGAGGAAGATCTTTCCAGCTTGAAACGCGAAATCGCCATCCTAAATCAGTGCAAGAGCGAGTACGTGGTTGAGTTCAAGGACTGTTTCTTCGTGGACGCCGAGATTTGGATCATCATGGAGTTTTGCATGGGAGGATCTGTAGCCGACATGCTGGATGCTACCCAGCGCACGTTGTCGGAGCCCCAGATCCGTTCCATCTGCGCCTGTGCTGCCCTGGGTCTTGCCTACCTGCACGACAACCACAACATCCACCGAGACTTGAAAGCAGGCAACATCTTGCTCTCCATGAACGGAAAAGCCAAGCTTGCCGATTTCGGAGTCTCCGCGACCCTGAACCACAGCATGAGCAAACGGAAGACCGTCATCGGGACCCCGTATTGGATGGCCCCGGAAGTAATCCAAGAAATTTCCTACGACGGGAAAGCGGATGTCTGGTCCCTGGGGATCACGGCCATTGAAATGGCGGAAGGAATGCCACCGCACTTCAACGTGCATCCCATGCGGGCAATTTTCCTGATTCCGTCCAAGCCTCCCCCCCAACTCGCCCAGCGTTCTACCTCGGGCCAGTCCCCTTGGTCCCAGGAGTTCCATGACTTCCTCTCCGTTTGCCTTGTCAAGGATCCGAACCAGCGGGCCAATGCGGCCGCCCTCCTGACCCACCCTTTCTTGAAGGCCGACGTGGACTTCCTCCGCGCCCGCCCCGCCCAGGGTCTGGCCCCCATTGCGGACCTGGTGGGCTCTACCTTGGAAATTCTGGCGTCCTACCGTCGGAGCAGCATTGCCGCAGCTCCGACACCAATGGAAGAGCAGTTTGCCCGGACTCGCCCATTGGAGGAGGATGGGGAGGAGGAAAACGGAGGTACGGGGAAGGAGCATGGGAGCCGCGGTACATCCGGGTCGGTTGGCAGGTTGCGGGACGGCGGGGCGGGAGAGAATACGTTGGTCCGTGGCCCCATGATGGGCCGGCGCTTCAGTCATCGACAGAGCAGCGGCAGTGGCAGCAGCCATGCAGGGGGTAGGAGGATGCTCGAGGAGGGTCAGCCAGGGATAGAGGGGCGGAATCGGGACAACTGTGAGACACTGGTGGCCCGGACAAAGGTAGATGTGGAGGAGAAAGACGTCAAGGACGAGGATTGGGAGCAATTGCGCCTGTGGGACAGGCGGCAGCACCAAGGCGTAGTGCAGGAGCAGGAGGACCAGCACGGGAAAGCACGTTCGTCCATGGATATTTCCTGCACGGGAACTGTGGTGCGACATCGACCTTCCCCAGGGGCCGCCGGTCTGCGTAGAGGCAAGGAAGCAGAGGGAGGAGAAGATGCCACGTTGATGGTGGCGTCTGGCGCAGGCAGTCCCCGAGACATGCAAGGCCGTGGGGGACATCATGCCCCGGAGGCCAATTCTGGGTTGCAGTCCGCCATGCGGTATTTGCAAGGTCTGTCGTTGAGTCGAAGAAGCGGACGGTCGGCTACGCGCGAGAGGGAGAGTGCCTCTACCTCTGAGGAAAAGGGGTTGACCTCGGGGCAGGAGAGAGGCAGCAGAGCCACGGCCGATCAGAGAAAATCTACCAGCGAGACTTCCTTTCTCCGGAAAAGTGCGGTACCTAACAATGGCAATTCGAATTATCACGACTGTAAAATGCGTGACGTGGCTGAGATGACTCGTGAAGAGTTGCAAGCCATGATCCGAGCCCTTGAGAGTCAGTACGACATGGATGCCACGGCTTTGGAGGAGGCTTACACATATCAGAAAAAGTATCTTGAAGACGCCTTACGACGGTGTAGATGACTTGGTACGAAAGAATTTGTAAGAGGACCCCCGTGTAAAATGTAATACGACATCAACTAAGTTGGAAAATGTGTTTTCATGCTGATCGACGAGCCTCTGAGGTATCCTATTAAAAAGTGTACCTGAGGCATGGACGATGGAAATTTAAAAAAAATTGTTCGAGAAAAGCTAGCGACGTGACGTTTATTTCCCGTGATAATGAATTACTTCTGTGACCATGTCATATGAAAGTCGCTTTTGGCAGCCAAGGCGCAGGGAGTGGGGAGGTTAAACCTTCGATTTCGAGGGTTTGTTCACGAAAGAGGGCATGCACAGCTTTTATTGCGTAAGACGGAGGTAAAATGGTATGAGATACCTGACAAATTTCAATGTCGCATGCCATAGAGTTCACAGGATTTGACTTCTACGTCTCTGCCACACACACCCCGTACAGGAAGGAGTTTATCGGGTCGGATGATTTGAGCCGCCAGAAGTGATGGCATTTACAGACTTAAGTGCGCCATCCACGAAAACCAAAGTCAAGTAAGTTACTCAACGAGGTTTTTGTTGAGACTGTTAGACATCATTTCTTGATTTCCTCGTTCTTCATTTTACTGTAGCTTTTCCTCTTTACTCACACGAACAAAAACTTGATATTAGAGTTTCATCAGTCTTGCATCGCAACGTGAGGGAGTTTGGTGCAGCACATATGTTCGATGGTAGCTCGGATAGTTGCTGGAATTCAGATCAGGTCCGTGGCGGTATCAGCATCGAGTATTTAAGTGACTATTTGATAAGTTCGCAAGGGGGCCATACTATTACCTTCCAAGGCCCCTACACAGAGGCGCTCCCTCTCCGGATGGGTTTGGGACTTCAGAAATATAATCAATTTTGCATTTAGGAGGCGTTTGAACACAAAAGTTGCATCCTCATTTCCTTTCCCATTTGACAGGGAACACCACAATGGATTGTGCTTCGTTTCCTGCGACCAGTCCTTGTATGCCGGTTGCTGCTCATGTTTCAAGGCGGTTTCGCCGGCAAAGAAATGCAAGTGAGAGTCACATTTCATACTCCACCCCTCTCTCGCGCCCCTCTTCCCGCCTCCTCTCCCATTGCGCCTTCCGCTGACGCGGCCGCGACTCCCTGTGAACACGAGCACACCAGTCCACCGCCGTCAAAGCCCCGGACGTCGGTGGTAAACGGGAAGGATTCCTCCACAACCCTACAGATGAAAAGTCGCCCCATGCTGGTGGGGACGTTTTACCCCGATGACGACAACAAATCACAGTCCTTTGAACTGACCGCGGCCATCAGGGCAGCTGCACAAGAACGAGAAGCATCGGTGCGAGGGGCAGAACGTGACGAAGATATCAGGACATATCATCATGACAGAGGCCCCGAAGAAGGCGAGGAAGGGTTTGACTGTATGTGTAAGGTGGTGGAAATGAAGCTGACTTTTAACGGCAGCTCGGACTTTTACGGTCGCGTGACGCTCTATCGCTTGGCTGTCTGGGGCCTTGAGGAGGACCAAGCGACGTAGCATGAAAGCAAAAATTTGATTGAAATGATTGGGATGGCTTGGACTTGGCGTACTCTCCTCGCCTCCCCTCGAGCGACATAATTAGAGAGGATGGTGAAGGAAAGTGTACACTGTCGGCGATAATAAGATATCAACTGAGAAACCCGCCTCTTATTCACAATTCGTCATCATTATGCTTTCTTATCCCTTCCAATGGTGTGCACAAAATGCACATTACCTGTCCTTTTGCCCTGTCATCGCCATGCTCAGGCGTCCTGTCCGCACGCCGGTATCAGGACCATCTACACGCGCAAGCCACGCTCCCACGACCCCACACGCATCCTCTATATAGAGATTCATTCAGCTTTCCGCGATGTGCCCACAAGACTGGCACTTGCTCGACCTCAGGCTTCTTCCTGGCCCTTTACCCTGACGGCCACTTTACATATATACAGTGACACAAACATCATACATTTCCCATGGGCCTCCCACACGTTATCACTATTCACCCTCTTCGAGCCTCCCGTGGGGCCATTCGAACCTCGTGGAAGGGCGATATGGGACCCCCCCCATGGGAATCATTCAAATTCCACAGAGTACGAAGTACCCTTTGGTCAAACACCCTCTCCCTTTCCGTCACCCACGTGCTCCTAATGAGCACCGCTATTCAACCGCTATGGCGGACTGCATTTTTCCTCTGCGCCATATCTCCTGCACACGCCTCGTATCATCGCTTCCTAGGATGGTCGAGGCGGGAATGCCATATCTCCTACACACGCCTCGTATCATCGCTTCCTAGGATGGTCGAGGCTCCCGCCTGACCCTTACATCCGCCTCGATCCTTTCAATGTCCGCGTCCCCTCGGCTGCATCCCTCCCATTACCGTCTCCGACCAAACACTTACCGCGATCCTCCCACACTACATTTTCTCGCCCGGGATTTCCCCATGCACACGGCTGCTCTTTCCAAGCCTCCCTCGGTCCGGCACACCAGCGACCCTCCTCCGCAGCCTGCGGGGCTCTTCGGCTTTCTCTCCCCTGCATCTCCGCCCCCCCGTCCCCCTTGCCATCCACTTCCCGCCCCATCCCGGGGCCGTCCCCACCCCCTGCCCAATGGAGACGCAATGGGTCCTGTCCATCCAAGGACGCGGGGCCACGCGTGGCTTGTCCCACAGGCCAGGCGCCTCCTAAGGCCCTCCGTGGAGGCAAACGCCGGTAGGCGAACGAGTATTGTCGGGCAGCATACGCACCCTTGTACAAGCCGATCTTTGAAGCAAAGGCTTCCGCCTGCGGGGAGAAGGGAACGACCAGATACCCGGATTTTTGGTAGAGTCGTTGGGCCGATGAGTTGTAGGCATCGACGTACAGACAAATGTAATTGATGCCCCGGCCGCGGGCGTATTCCTCCACGGCAGTTAAGAGGGCGGCGGCCACCCCTTGCCGACGGAAGGCATCCACCACCATCATCCCCGTCACGTAGAGCTTCGATTGTTTCCTCTCGTGCGCTGGGGACGGTATGCCAGTCCCTTTGTTCTCGGGCGGGGTGTCAAGGAACGAGGTGCGCGCCAGGAGCACCGACGGCTGAGAGCTTGAACAGGAAGCTTTGCCAACACTGCTGCCCCTCGCATCCGGGATACCAGCCCAGAATCCAGCACCACCCCTGTCCCATCCCCCCTGTAACCTCCATCCGTACGCTCCTTCCTCCCCTCCCTCCCCATCCTCCTCCTCGTCCTCGACCTGCGCCAGGCAGGGAGAGAAGCCCACCTCGTGGAACTCATGCGTGCTGGCCTCTACCGAAGCCACCAATACTGGCTGCGCGTCCGGATGGCGGACATCCCTGGCTGTGACCACAAATATCACAGAGCCCTTTGACTGCCGGGCAATCAAATTCTGCAAGGACTCGGCTTTCCATCCGGCAGACATGTCCGGGACGGGTGGTGCTGTGCCCCCTCTTCCTTTCGTTTCTCTTCCTTCCACCTCTGAAGGGCCCGAGAGACCTGTGTGGTTCGGAATGGACGCACTTCCCGCGGTAGATGCTTCTTTCCCAGGACCAAATACCTCCATTCGCATGTCGACCACTAGATTTAATTCCTGAAGATTGGCAGGCCGCACTTCAAGGCGCACATAAGGGCTGCGGAGGTCGAAAGATGAGGGCGAATGATGCGACAAATAAGTCAACGTGTCGGCTACGGGGACGTGCTCTTTGTGGGAGTCAGAGGAGGGTCGGATCGCGGGGGCAGCGGCAGTTTCGCTAGGTGAGCGGTAGGCAGCGGCCATGCCTGGACCTCTTCGAAGAGATGGCGCTGTCACTAATGCTTGCACGCTTCTCGTTACTAACAGGCATGGTAGGAGAGAGACGATAATTGATTGTAGTCTTCTTGACCGGCTTGAAATGTAGCAGCGTAATGACATCGTCTGCAGGGGGGAAAGCAGAACAATCCGCAGATCGAAAACGCGAAATGCTGTGTCGGGAAAAGGTAGAAAAGGCAAGAGGTGGGGGGGGTGAGCACACAGCACACCTCAAAAAGCATAACATCTCAAAAATCTGCCTGTAACTTCGTGTATGCCAGGGTTCTGTGTTTGGTGTAATTGACTGTTGAAGTGCTGCTTGAAATGCAAGGAAAACGCTGGAGAAGCTCGCGAAGAGAGCAGATGGTCCCAAGCTCAAATATTATTCCCCCAAAATTCAGCCCGGTCCCGGAGAGGTGTTCCCCATGACTCCACCGGATGGAACACCAGTAGCTGTGTACACACGGTACAGCGTGTCGAATTCTGGGGAGGGCACGCACGACACTTTCGGGCCTGACTTAGGAGGGCATCTGGTTGCCTGTTAGCTCCCTCTCCCGGCGGGTGTTGAAGTCATTTAAGACACCATATGTCGCCTGCAGTGCAAGCCCAGGCCCATCCGGATGCAAGAACACCCACTTCACCCGTGAGTCTTGCGCGGGTTGCACTTGGAGTTGACGAGAGCATGGATAGGCGTAGTCTGTGGTCGTTGTAAGAGACCACGTGGCATCACACGCGAGCGACGTGACCAGATTCGGTCGCCTGCATAACCCGATAGACGAAAAAGATCAGGCGAAAATTCTTTTTGCATGGAAGCTCGAACTCGGTCACGCAGGAACGAAAAAGCACACGAAGCGACGTGCTCCCAGGAAGTGATTTGTTCCATTTGCACGAGTTGGAGTTGCCTATCTCTGTTGCAATTTTAGGACAAAAGGATGAGTTACGGCATTACCTCGCACAGGCGCCACCTCATTATTTCTTCATCGTATACCTTGATCCATTCCGACAGTGACGTAAAGCTTTGCCCAGGTCGCAACCCAGGCACCCGCAAGATGAAGACTGGTACTTCCCTTGCTGCACTTTTTTGTGTACTTGGCACGACTGAGGCATTTCTGGGGCGAGTCTCTTTCTTGCCAGGAATCCGCAAGTAAGTAAGCCTCTTGTGTAGCAGGAGACGGCGTGCAGGAAAGCCCTCACGGGCCGCATAGGGCCTCCTCCTGTCATGTCCCTCCATTCACCGCACAATGTTGCTTCTCTCCGCGTGCATACTTGTCGACACGCAAAGAGACTTGGCATTCATCTGGCCTTGAACTCCCAGCAAAACTCACATCGAGCCCTCCTCACTTAACCGCCTTACCCCCACCCCTAATCCCTCCATTGGCAGCCTCCCAACAGACACCCCGGTCGCCCGAAAGCATGGCCCGGGCATTTTCATGTCCACTTTGAAATCCCCGGAGCCGGCCACCGCACAGACCCAGCATGCGCAAGCCCCTACCTCGCTGCACGTCAGCGACAGCAAGCGAGTGTACCTCTTCAACGAAGGCCGGAAGGAGGACAAAGCCTTGCTGGGTGGAAAAGGCGCGAACCTGGCCGAGATGAGCAACATCGGCCTGCCTGTGGTACGTGCCAGACTCGGGCTGTGCGGCAACGGCGGGCAGAGGATTGTGGAGCAAAATGCCTGAAAGGCAGGAGACAAGGACTGTCTCCTGCCCGAACTTACCTCGCCCTCGAACCCTCCCTCCCTCTTTCCCTCCCTCCCTCCCTCTTTCTCTTTCTCCCTCCATTCCTCCATTCCTCCCTCCCGCCCTTTCTCCCTCTCCCCCTGGACGCCAGCCCCCCGGATTCATCATCAGCACCGCCACCTGCCTGCAGTACTTCGATTCGGAGCCAAACCTTCCCTCGGGCCTGGTGGAGGAGTACATGGCCGCGATAAAGACAATCGAGGCCCAGACGGGGAAGGAGTTTGGAAACCCCGAGAACCCCCTCTTGTTCTCGGTCCGGTCGGGCGCCGCCATCAGTATGCCCGGCATGCTGGATACGGGTAGAAAGAGAGGGAGGGAGGGAGGGCAAGCGGGGGGAAAGAGGCTGCATTGATTCATGGGGATCGAGGAGGAGAAGAGAGGGAGGCGGCGAGAGGAACCGTCTGCATGTTCAATGACCAGGTCTCCTCCTTCGCGCATTTTATGACGGTTGTCATCCCTAGCATGAAAG